AGAGGGTAAAAATTTCAGGGGAATTGATAGGATATTAACAAAGACTTGAGGGGGAAGTAGGGTGGGGGACGAGAGCTGGAGCTCAGTAACTGACGATCTTATTTACTACGACTGAAATATGACTGTTTAAAATTTCAGGGGGATTGGACTGCCAGTAGCGAAAATGTGGTCTCTGTCAAATTTGGGTCTTCAATTGGACTCTGATTAATTTCGATCATGAACTGGACTCTGAATATTTTTGACACAAAGTGGACTCTGGCGAATTTTCGGTATAAACTGGACTCTGATGAAAATTGGGTAGAAAATGGACTCCGTCAAATTTTGTAGATTACAGGACTTTGAATATTTTTGGCCACAAACTGGACTCTGACGAATTTCTGTCGTTAATTGGACTCTGATTATTTTTGGGTAAAAACTGGACTCTGACGAATTTTGCTCACAAAGTGGACTCAAAATAATTTAGGTCAACAACTAGACTCTGACGAATTTTGGTCTTTACAGGTGAAACAGCCGTAAATGGTTATAAAACTTAAAGTAATGACTAAGATGCCTGTTTTATTTATCAAAACGTCTAAGACAATATTCTCTGAAAATGGTCTTTGAAAAATACGAGGTTTTGAAAACTGGTACAATAAGTCCGTAGAGTTAACCCTGAAAAACCTGGGTCTTAAACACAAATTTCTAAATTTACCTGAAAACACTGGTTCTTAAACACGAATTTCTAAATTTACCTGAAAACCCTGGGTCTTAAACACGAATTTCTAAATTTACCTGAAAACCCTGGGTCTTAAACACGAATTTCCCCGAGAAAAAAAAATTCGTCTCTGCGCCGCCATCCCTACTACTCATAGTAATTCAAACAAATTAAAAAATAAACAACTAATAGACAAACTACCGAAGGCAAAGTCACCTATCTCTGGAAACTAATGTGATTAGAGCAGCCTTTGTTTTAGTATTACTGCAGCCAATGTGCTTTTCTTCAGTAACTACCACGAGAAGTGCCACCAGTCTGTGGTACCATTGTAGCCAAAGCCACCTTTCTCTGGGAACTATCACGGTCTATCACCTTGCTCTTGAAAGAACTATTGTGGGCAATGTAGCTCTCCACCATATGCTCAACTTTATATGCAAAAAGAAAATCATAATAACGTTATATATCAATACGTTCATGCAGGCTAAATGTAATTTCTGGTTGAGCACCAGCTCGGGGCCTCCAGACGTTTTAGTGGACTCAGTAGGGTTCCAGGTTGAATAGCTTTTAGCATGTGGTGGCCTTGGGGCCGTAGAGCACCGTGTTTACCAGGATGCTGGATCATTCCCTGAATTACTCCAACGATTTTCTCATTGAGATATCAAGTTATTGTCATTTCCTTGTGTACAATAATAAGGACATAAAGTTATCGAAATATATAAGAGCTTTAATAACATAAAACAGTGAACACTAAGATTTCCGTATATTAAGTAGTTTTCTGTATAAATATTTATGTACAGAACTTCCATATGCTTACTATTAACGAAGAATACAGTTTACCTACCTATCAGTACTTACCTATCAGTGACTACTGGAAAGTGAGGTCTAACTTTTCATGCTCCGCCTGATAGCTTTGTTGTTCCTGTTGCTTTATAGCTTAACTACTTTGATGCTCAAAAACTTTGTCAAAACTGTACTTAACGTTTTGCATGGAGGTGGCTTCCACAACGTCTTCTCCTATAGCATTCCACTTGTTAACCACTCATACGGAGTACGAGTATTTCCTTTCATTTTTTCGCATCTTATGTTTCCAACTTCCATTTGGGATCTCTTTTCCTACTTTCTGTCAGTTAAAGAGGCAATCCCTATTCACCTTGTTTATTCCCCACAATATATTAGTTGTTGTAATCATATTTCCTCTGTTTCTTCTTTCCACCAGGGTTATGAGGTCCTTTTCCACCAGGGTTATGAGGTCCCTTTCCACCAGGGTTATGAGGTCCCTTTCCACCAGGGTTATGAGGTCCCTTTCCTCCAGCGTTATGAGGTCCTTTTCCACCAGGGTTATGAGGTCACTTTCCTCCAGGGTTATGAGGTTCTTTTCCACCAGGGTTATGAGGTCCCTTTCCACAAGGGTTATGAGGTCCCTTTCCACCAGGGTTATGAGGTCCCTTTCCACAAAGGTTACAAAGTCCTTTTCCACAAGGGTTATGAGGTTCCTTTCCTCCAGGGTTATGAGGTCCTTTTCCACCAGGGTTATGAGGTCCCTTTCCACCAGGGTTATGAGGTCCCTTTCCACCAGGGTTATGAGGTCCCTTTCCTCCAGGGTTATGAGGTCCTTTTCCACCAGGGTTATGAGGTCCCTTTCCACAAAGGTTACGAAGTCCTTTTCCACCAGGGTTATGAGGTCCCTTTCCCCCAGGGTTATGAGGTCCTTTTCCACCAGGGTTATGAGGTCCCTTTCCACCAGGGTTATGAGGTCCCTTTCCACCAGGGTTATGAGGTCCCTATTCATCAGGGTTATGAGGTCCCTTTACACCAGGGTTATGAGGTCCCTTTCCACCAGGGTTATGAGGTCCTTTTCCACCAGGGTTATGAGGTCCCTATTCATCAGGGTTATGAGGTCCCTTTCCACCAGGGTTATGAGGTCCCTTTCCACAAAGGTTACGAAGTCCTTTTCCACCAAGGTTATGAGGTCCCTTTCCTCCAGGGTTATGAGGTCCTTTTCCACCAGGGTTATGAGGTCCCTTTCCTCCAGGGTTATGAGGTCCTTTTCCATCAAACCTCTCCTGATAGCTAAACCTTCTTAGCTCTGGAACTAATCTTGCCGCAAACCTATGCACTATTTAAATTAATTTAAACTTTATGCTTCACAAGATGTAGATTCCAGGCCAAAGTTCCATATTTCAGTATTTATCTTACAAAGGCTATGTTGAATGTCTTTAAAAAGTTCCCTGACTTAAGTTTTTAAACGATGTTTTAATTTTTGCAAACTTCCCCTATGCTGTCGATGTCACCCTACCTATGTGTACGTCTGGAATTGGTGTTTGAATGATATCTACTCTCAAATTTCGTTCTTGCTGTGATTCCCGTAGTTGCTTTCCATTTATGGTGTAGGCATCTTTTGGTCTCCTTTCTCCCTTACCCTCTCATTGCCTTGCTCTGAGTGGGATTGAACTCCAACAAACATTGTTTTGCCCATTCCTGGAGTTTGTCTAAGGCCTTCTGTAACATTCTGCAGTCCTTCTCTGTATTCAAGATCATCATTATATTTACATCATCTACAAACATTGACATATACGAGCCCACCCCCTTATCTTGAGGTTATCTTGAGATGATTTCGTTGCTTAGTGTCCCCGCGGCCCGTTCCTCGACTAGGCCTCTTTTTTTGTTACACACGCCAGGAAGCAGCCCGTAGCAGCTGTCTAACTGCTGCTATTTACCTACGTACCTATTTATTGATAGGTGAACAAAAGCACAGGGTGAAAGAAACTCTACCCAATTGTTTCCGCCTCCGCGAGTATCGAACCTGGAACCTTAGGACTACGAATTCCGAACGCTGTTTTCTCAGCTGTCAGGCCCCCTTGGGTAGATAATTAACACATATTAGGAACTATATATATATTTTTTATTTTAATTATAAATTCATAAGTTCTTACATTCTTGTAAGACCACTAACACGCATAGTGTTTCGGGCAGGTCCCTAATCCAAATTTTGCCTGGAATATGACCCACCTAATCGTTCAACAACCAGGTAACCATTCACTGCTGAGTGAACAGAGGTGTACAGTTAAGGATTGGCGCCTAGTCAATCCTCCCCGGCCAGGATACGAAGCCAGGCCAAATCGCGCGGGAAGCGCGGGGCGAGGGTCTTAACACTACGCCATGGGGACCGCTTATAACCAAACCTTCTGGGAATCCCACGTGTTACATTCCTCCAGCTGGAGACGTCTCCTCTGACTGTGACTTTTTGCCCTCAGTCCTTCACCTAGTTTAGTGTCTTTCCAATTATCGCAGTATGCATGTCTACCTTGTAATCCAGTCTTTCCTGAAGAACAGCATCAAATGATTTTTGACTGTCAAGGAAAATTCAATCTACCCACCTTCCTTTCCCTTCCTGTCTTATTTAAGTAATCTTGTCATAGAACTCGATCAGGTTTGTTAGGCACGTCTTTCTCGTCTAAAACCATGCAGACGATTTGTTACAAAGTGTGTCCATTTCCAGGTGCTCCATTATTCTCGTCCTGATTACTCTCTCCTACATGTTACGTGGAATACTTGTCAGTGATACTGGTGTGTAATTTAGTGCCACTTGTGTGTCAATTTTTTTAATAATGTAACTGCTTAACTGCTTTAATAATGTAATGCTTTGGCTGCTTCCAGAATTCTGGGAGATTTCCTGATTCGAATGTTTGAAAACAACAGTTAGAAGGTGCCATTGTACGTCATCAGCCTCCCCCAGTAACCATGGGGAAATTAAATCTGGCCCAATTGACTTTACTGTATTTAATTCTTTCAAGTGTTTTTAACTTCTTTCTCAGTGAAAAATGTCATCAAATGTTTTCTCAAGTTTATTATTCCATAGCTCTGGTCTCCACTTTACTTTTTTTATAAAGACCCCTTGAAATCTTTTGTTGAGTTCTTCAAACATTTTTTTGTCATTTTCCGTGAGATCTGTCTCCTATCTCTTTATCGTGATGATATGGTCTCTTACCATTATGCGTTTCATATAATTGACTAATACAGCATCTTTAATAATATAGACGATTATAACCAGTTTCCTGATAGAGAGAAATACACCTACTTCAAGGGAGACACGAATATATTATACTTCTTAATATAAATGAACAAGCCTACAGCATGCTTAAAATGCGAAACGAAATACGAAATAATAATAATATATAGTAATATCTGATTAAGCTTCCATAATAATTGTATACATAAACGGATATCACTAAATATAGCGTTTTCCACCATAATCACGCCGATCATGTCAACGTTGTGGATGAACTGGGTGTTTGACTCCTCACAGGTCCATGGACGGGAGGCGCAGGTCACGACACACGGCAATAGCTGACCGTGCGGCTTTTATCAGCCTCTGGGAGAGAGGGATGTCTCTCCGGGTCATTGCTCAAGTTACTGGCAGCAGCGTGACTACGGTGTGGCGGTGGCTTAGACGATGGAAACTGGAAGGAACCTTAAACAAGAAACATTGCTCCAGAAGACCACAGCCGGAAAGTTTTTTAAACAAACAAGGCAGCAACAAAACATTTGTCGTTTGGGCTTGGACACCCGTACCCGTGTTGGGAACCTGTTTTCCTAATCACTACTCACATCAGATATACACACATGTGACTTATGAGAAGGAACTTGAGAGGTATTTTAATTAGAGTTCTCCAGTAGGCCTGGAGAACAGTGAGAGATGGGGAGAGCAGTGGCTCCTGCACATTACATCCTGTAAGGGAATGAGAACAGGTGCCACAAGAACATAATGACTGGCAAGCATCTCACAGAGTTAGAAAATTGCAAATTCTAGTAGCAGTTGTTGCACGAACCCAAATATCGGACACCACATAGACAAAATAGCATGAACAAATCTGGAGGAAATAAGTAATGTTTAACATTGGACTCATGACTGTCCTTAGATATGAATATGTCCTAGGAAATATAAATGAGATTGGGTGGTTATAAATAGGAGCTGCCACGTATGGGCCAATAGGCCTTCGACAGTTACCTTTATCCTTATTCTTCTGCTCTTAAATATGATTATTATTTATAATTCTAAATAAAGGAATTGTACTTATTAACCTGGTAACTTTTTACGTAAATGGTTATAAAGAGAAACTTTACATTTTTTTATAAATGTAAACAAGTATGCTACAGTAAACTCCCAGTGAATAATCACATTTGCAGCATTTCAAGTGTTTAAGAATGAGTAGACCATATGCAAATAAATACTTAAATTATTATTTGTTTATATATTAGTAAGGAGAAATCCTAGTAAATCCTCTTATCAAATCAGCTGGGTTCTCTACATGTTAGCTTTCAAATTAGGGTATTGCAAACTTTCAATCAAGGTTCTTTTGTTCAAAATGACTTGATAACTATTGAAAGCTACATAAAGATGCATTTTCGATTTTATCCAAATATTCATCTTCAATGATCAGAGCACATCTCTCTGTGCTCTAAAGAAAAAGGGGGGAGGGATCAGGCCAATAGCTGTGGGCATTTTCTCCGGCGTCTCGTCGCAAAGGCTGATGCAAGAACAGTTAGTGATGCAGCGGCCAACATGCTGAAGCCAAAACAGCTCAGGTTAGGCATTCCACAAGCGTGCGAGGCGGCAGCCCATGCAGCTCGAGCATTCATCGCGAACATCACAGACGAAAAGGCCCTTATCAAGCTATATTAAAAAAATGCCTTCAATTTGGTGCGGAGGAACGCTGTACTCTTGCGGTTCATCGTCATTTCCCTTCCCTCTACCCTTTTATACATTCATGCTACAGTATGGATCTAAAACTACTTTTTGGCGAATATGAAATTGACTCGCGAGAAGGCGTCCAACAGGGTGACCCCCTTGCTCCTCTCCTTTTCTGCTTAGTCATAAAACAAATCAACAAACAAGTCACAGAAGTCCTGTCCAGCGAGCTTAACATCTGGTTCTTGAATGATGGTACCGTAGCTGGTTCCCGAGACTCCCTCCTGGTGGACATCAGGAAAATCTAGGAGCAAGGTGCAGTTTTAGGCCTCACCCTGAATCCTTCTAAATGTGAAATAATATGTTCCATCCAGGGCATAGTAGAGAGAATAGAGGGTCTCCTGCCAAATATCCATTTAACTAAACATGAAGACAACACACTCCTAGGAGCCCCCCTGGGGTTGAGAGCCATCGATGAAGTCCTTGATAAGACAATCGCCGACTTTAAGAAGATGGATGGGAGGACTGAGGATATTGATGCTCATGATGCACTCTACCTCATCACTAGATGTCTGTCCCTCCCCAGGTTAACTTACTATCTGAGGTGTTCACAATCCCACAGTAGCCAAAAACTAGCTGATATGACCTGTTACTGAAATCAATGCTAGAAAAAGCTCTCAACCTCTCTCTTGATGACCTACAGTGGAAACAAGCCTCTCTTCCCCTAAGACTTGGGGGCCTCGGAGTTTGAACAGCAATGCAAATCGCCGTTCCAGCCTTCCTGTCCTACTCATCTGCATCCGACGACCTTGTGAAGGAAATTTTACCTGCCAACTTACATTAGCTGGCAGGTGTACACGATCCCAATTTTACATGCTGAGCCACCGAGTGGGCCTCTCGTGAAGGTCCATCACCTCAACCACAATCCTCAAAAGCCCACAAGCAATCCAGCTGGGATGGCCCCATTGTAGACCGAATTGCTGCAGAGTGCCTGGGTGCTGCAACAACACAACACGACATTGCTCGCCTCAAAGCAGTAGCAGCCCCACAAGCAGGGGATTTCCGGTTAGCAACCCCAATGTCGACAACTGGCACGCATCTCACACCACAGGCCTTTGAATTGCTGTGGCCCACCTCCTTGCTGCCTCAATCCAAACCAGATATAGGTGTATTTGCAGTGAGGTGGTGGCTGACAGGTACGGCCATCATGGCCGTACCTGTCAGCCACCACCTCATTGCAAATCTCTCTGCCAAAGCACAGGGGGATGGCACTTGAGGCACAGTAAAATTAACGACATCATCAAGAGGAGCCTCACCACAGCTGGATGCCCAGCTGAAAGAGAGTCCCATTACCTAACGCCCCATAACTCTGATGCTCTTATTGGTCGCCCTGTTGGTACCACAGTGAATCCCTGGAAGAATGGCAAGAAGTTGGTATGGGACTACACTTGAGTATCAACCCTGGCTAACACCTACATTGACCTCAGTGTTGCACAACCAGGTGGCGCTGCCACCCACAGGGAAGCAGCCAAATCCCGTAAGTACAGAGAACTGGATCACCACTACAATTTTGTCCTCAATGCTTCTGAGACACTCGGCACCTGGGGTAAAAGTGCTACCAGTTTTTTTAAGGGACTGGCTTCTAGGCTCATTTAAACAACAAGAGACCCTAGAGCTGCCAGCTTCCTTTTCCATCGCCTCAGCGTGACGATACAGAGGGGAAATGCGCACTGCATCTAGGGTTCTTGCCCAGCATGTGAGGAGCTGGAGGAACTCGACAACCTATGATAATCATCTTTGTACCCTATAAGTAACTCCTTTTTTGTAACAAAGTTTAAATAAAACAAATACATATGTGCATATACAAAGAATGGGTGTGGCAGGAGAAGATAATATTAGAGTTCAGTGAGAATCCTTATTTTCTTCTCCCAGGTTATGGATCAACATATTTGCGCCAGAGGTGGTAGCCGCACAACCTTTATATATATATATATATATATATATATATATATATATATATATATATATATATATATATATATATATATATAT